CCCCCCCCATTGTTTTCTTATTGTATTCTTATAATTTTCTTCTTTTATTATTCTTGTTCACCTTTCTCTTTCTTTTGTAGTTGTTTTTGTTGTTGGTCTCCTTTGTATGTTTTTGTTTTCTTTCTAGTTTGTTTGATCAGCACCTATAAAACAGCTCACACAATGTGGTTGGGGTTGAACTTCACAGTCAGGCAGTCTGAGGATGGATCTTACCCACAAATGCCCCAACAACAATCAAGACCTAGTGACAACAGAAGAGCCCTCAAAACACACACACACAAGGGATATTTCTATAGCATCCAATTCAGAAGATAAAAAAGGCTGCACCAGTGGGCCCTACAGGACACTTCCCTTGAAAGACCACTCCACAAAGACTGGGAATCATAACATTTCTATCTAGTACATAGAAATAAACACAAAGAAACAGCTTGTGGAGAAAAGACACAATCCCCAAATGAAATAAAAGGAGGAATCTCCAGGAAAAGAGCTAAATAATTTATCAGACATAGAGTTCAAAGTAATAGTTACAAAGATGCTCAAGGAACTTAGTGGAAACTATAAGGAACATAATAGGAATTACAAGGAACTTAGTGGGAACTACAGAAGCATGAAAAAGGACATAGAAACAATGAATAAGAACCATTCAGAAATGAAGAATACTACCTGGTGAAAGAAATAGACTTACAAGTCCAAAAAGCAGAAAAGTGCCAAACAATAGGAACCCAAAGAGGCTGACCCAAGACACATCATAATTAAAATGGCAAGCTGTAAAGACCAAGAGAGATTCTTAAAAGCAGCAAAAGAAAAGCAGTTAGTTACCAGCAAGGGAGCACCCATATGACTGTCAGTTGATTTCTCAACAGAAAATTTGCAGGCCAGAGGGAGTAACAAGAAATATTCAAAGTGATGAATAGCAAGGACCTACAACCAATATTATTCTACCCAGCAAAGCGATCATTTTTAATTGAAGATTGGAGAAAGAGCTTCACAGACAAGAAAAAGCAAAAGGAGTTCATCTCCACCAAACCAGTATTACATGAAATGTTGAAAGGTATTCTTTAAGAAGAGGAAGAAGAAGAAGAGAAAAAAGATACAAAATATAAACAATAAAATGGTAATAAATACATATCTATCAATAAGAATCTAAAAATAAAAACAACAAACATACAATCTAAATAAACTGATGAATAAAATAGAAGCAGAGGTGCATGGGAACATGGAGCAGACTGACAAATCTTAGAGGGAATGGAGGAGAGGGGAGGGGGAAGACATCTACTAAAGAACTTATATGCATATATGCCTTCCCTATGGACACAGACAATAGGGTGGTGAAGGCTGGAGGCAGGGCAAGAACCCACTGGAGGGTGGCAAAGGGGGGCGGTGGTAGTGGAAAGGACGGCATCTGT